ATGGAGACTCGTGGATAGAAATGAATGAGAAAGAGGGGTACAGCAAGTTTATACAGTTCTGAAATACATGTTTCTCTGTCAGCTGCACATTCATTTGGGTTTCGGGGCTTCGATTTTCAATGGATTTATTTAAATTATTTAGGTGTTGGTCGCCTTGATGTGGGACTGACTACCCGCTAGACACCCAGCCTTAAAACACCTTTTAGGTGAGGCAGGGGGTGTGATCCTCAACCTGGTCCGGAATGCGGACGCATGTAGTCAAAACGGTGGAGATAGCCGCGCTCAACAACCATTGCCGGAGCCAAATTGTCCATTGTGGGTGCAGAATCCAAGCCTTCGGCAGACCCAAACCAACAGATTCTGGAACAAGAAGGCGATACATAGCAGTCCGGGATGATACCCAGCTGAGAAGGAGTGGGGGGAACAAAACATGTCACGAATAATATGCACGGTGGAATAATGCTAAAACGTATGTGTACCTAGAAATATATATATACAGAAATTAAGCAATTATAGGTCACAGCACTTTCAAAGGCATGCACCTACAGAGAGATTGTTCCATAGGTCTAACTTTGAGGCTGGATCCGTGTACTGATATGAAAATTGGTTGAGAAGGTGGACGCTGCATGTGCCACAGGGTTTAGCCAATTGAGTTTAACCGAATAAACATCAGTGGAAAATAAAGTAAGCAATAATTGGTCACAATAAGTCTTGAAGTATAGAAGCGGTCCTAATACTGAGCCTTGTGGAACTCCGCTGGTCAGCTGAACTGGTATGGACCTATTCTCACCAACCGTCACATAGAATGATCGTTGTGAGAGAAAGGCACTTATCCACTTGTGCAACTGTCCTTGGATTCGAAATCGTTTTAATTTGATCAACAGCAGGTGATGATTCACTGAATCCAAAGCCTTACTGAAATCCAGATAGCAAACCTCTACGGTTTTACCCTCATATATTTTTGCAGTAACATCCTCCAAAAATCACAACAGGTTTGTTAGACATGAACGTTGCTTAACGAAACCACATCATGCCTCTGCCATGAGTATGTTACGCTACAGATGTTTCACCACATGCGTTTTAACTATCTTTTCTAGTGCCTTACATAGTACGCTAGTTGAGCTGACAGGTTGATAGTTTTTTACATCTGTCTTCTTACCTCCCTTATGTATGACTACTACAGAGACCGTTTTCTAGTCAGACGGTAATCTCCTTTGAGCTAGTGATGTCCTAAAAAGGCTGCACATCGGCCTTGCATTTAAATCAGCAATTGGTTCGATGATCGCTGGGCTAATTCCTTTTGGTCCTGTCGCCTTGAACACCTTAAGAAATCCTAGTACCTACGATTCTTGCCCCACCGTTATCCGTAGTTCCTCCACCACATCTGTTGCCGAGGGTTGAGAAGCAGTTGAATCATCGGTGTCCAGTCTTTGCACGCTACTAAAGTAAGCGCAGAGTGCATCAGCTTTACTCTGGTTTTCAGTTGGCCCTATCTCCCTCAAGTACTAGTGGCCCCATCTCTTCTCTGGTAGATCCCTTTGACTGGATATACCCGTAGTCCCTTTTCGGCTCCAGCTTTACTCTCTGGGCCAGCTTCATTTCGAAAAACCTTTTTTCTCCCTCACTAGGTTAATCACTGCGTTTCTGTGGGCGGTGTGCTGCACCCACCACCTATGGGTGCCGGCTAGTTGGTAGGCCCGTCAGCTTCGGTTCCGGTAAATAGCAGCCCTGGCTACTGCGGCCCGCCACGATGGCGGTTTTCCCTTGTGTCTCCTATATCTTAACGGAGCAAAAAGATCCTAGAGGTTGAGGAGGTTGTGTTTGATTAACACCCAGCATTCCTCAACGTCTGTGGTGTCATGTTCGGGAACCAACTGCATTTGTGCGGTGTATTCCCGAAGCCTATTCATGTTCCTTCTACCAAAATCTCTAT